GGAAAAAAAATTCTTTAAAAGTTCAAATGCCTGAGGAGGGGTGGGAATAAGCTTCGAATTGATCGACGCATAATTGGCAGCTTGAGATAACTTGACCTTCCACGTGATAAAGTAAAGTGAACCCACGTGGGACCCTCGTTGAAAATTGCATAAATTTTGAGATGCTTGGTTCATAAATTTATGTGGAACCAAGCATCTCAAAGCAAATAAAACAGTAATCAAAATTTCTTCACCACTCACTCACCTTGATCCTAAAATAGCTGTGTTGCGGAACCACAAAGTATTTAAAGAAGAGGAAAAAAATTAAAAGAGAAGAATCAGCAAAAATTGGAACTTGAACATTGTTTGTACAATTCGCCGGTACCCATTTATACTCCTGAGTGGAGAGACAGACTGAGAAATTAAAGTGTCTTGCCCAAAAACACAACACAATGATTCTGCTATCGGCCGCCAGTGGGCCATTAGGTGTGATTGAAACTACTAGCCGATGTTCAGCTGTAAGTCCGCAGACAAGTTTTTTTAGGGAGTTGTTCTTCACAATTACCGAAATTTTATGCACATTTGAGGACAACTTTCGATGATAAGTTTACTCTTTATATCTAAGGTCCGGTCAGTCCCACCATTTCAAACATATTTTCTTATGGCAAGGATGAAAATCATTTCGTCTCTGGTGCATATTTCGAGTGTTTTAACTTATCCTTTTCTTGTTTCGACTTACGTCCACTTCCCGTCGCTGCGAATTCCTGGCCGTAGAAGTTGAGGCCCATTAGAATTTTCGATCGCTGCTTTCCTTTCTCTGGACTCAACGTTAGCACACAGTCTTTCATCCATTGTAAAGGCGCATTAGGACCCGGCCTACATACAAAGCAATAGGGCAGGTTAAAAATACTAGTATTTAACAAATTTACCCTATGTTACCTAAGGTCTGTTCAGCAACATATCACACATGACGTCAAAAGTGGTAAGAACAAAAAAGTAGCACACGAGGTGCAGACTTCGTTAAAAAGGAAAGGACGGCTTCTAGTCTAATAAAGCTATGCACAGCGGAAACAATTACTCACCTCCCTTGAGAAGAGTAATCATAAGTCATCAGACTAAAACCATCCAGGACTGGCGCTAATAATTCAAAGTCATTTTTATCAAACGAGCCTGGCTTCTTCCTGAAAGGAAAACAAAATAAAGGAAGCGATACAATGCAAAAATTACCGCAAAATAACTCAATAGTTGAATAAATATATACATAAATAAATAGATATGAATATTAATGTAAATGATGATGTTAATGACTACCACAATGATAGTGGTAATGTCAGTGTGAAGTATCGCTAATAAACGAATAAATTTTAAATCATAAGGCTAATGATGATGACAAGTTTGACTATTATAATGACAGTGGTAGTATTCATGGTAATGATATCGATAATGATGATAACTATTAGGCGGGTTTTTTTTCCTAATCTTCTCTTGTTTCATCAATCAACCAATTGCTGTAACAATCCGTTCAACTGAATTTTGATTGAAGCTTACCCGGCATAAAAGGGAGGCGGTATTACCAAAATTATCTTGAGCTTTTCTTTATGAAGAGAGTCAGCCATTTTACTGACCAGAAGATACAAGTCCCTGAAAGACATAC